TTTATTCATATATAAATATATTTAATATATAAACGTAACATTTTTCATGTATGTGTGTATTTATATATACATAATAAATATACACACCACTGTTACGGGGCTGACAAGACGTGAGACGTGCGGATCCATATGCAAGCTTTATTAACATGAGAGGAGGTCAGAAACACAGGCAGGAATAGTCCTAGGGCTAGCGTAGGTCAACGATTGGCGAACAGGATCACAAGGGCGAGACTAAAGGGATAAATCCAGGAAAAACAGGCACAGATCGAAAACAGACAAGGCAAGACTAGGCTAAGGCAGGGTAAACTAACGAGGGCTCTGTAGTGTAGCTATCAAATGATAAGCGCTAAACAATACTCGGCACCGGGAAGGGATCCGAGTGAGTGTTAAATAGTGAGTGAGTGATATGAAACAGCTGTGTGCAATCAGTGCTGTGTGCAATCAGTGCAATGAATGATGGGATATGTAGTCCGGGGTGCTATGCAACAGTGTGTAGTGCGAGAGTCAATGAAAATGGAAAGGGTGACCTCTGATGGCTAGCAGACGGAAGTTCATGGACCGGATTCGTGACAGGGGCATAGAGGATAAACAATAATGTACAGTATGTGGAAAATAATGTGTTTTTTTAACCTTAAACCGCATAAACACATTGCATTACACCAAATACACAAAATAATGTTCTTTTTAGCAACGTCATATGACCCCTTTAAGAAACTGTTTTAAGCTGATTTTTGAATAATCAATTGAACCCAGAACACTTAAGGTTTAATTTTTTGAATGATTTTTATGGATTCAGTACAATTAATCAAAGGTCACACCATAAAAAAAGAATCAATCAACCAATAAAGGTTAAAACAGAACAGTTTTAATATTAATGCTTCTCATGGACTACAAAATGTTTTTGTTTTTTTTTTAAACCGCGTGCAACAATTATTTAAAAAAATATTTTTGTTTTCACAAATTATGAATATTATAAACAGTATTGTAACTATTTCTAATGATTTTTATGGAAGGGGTCAATTGTATTCTGTACAAAAACAAACAAATAAATAAATGTTAAAACTGTAAAATGTTAAAATTAATACTACTTAATCTCACATATAAAAATTTTTAAAACTGCATATAACAACTTAAAAAACATTTTAGTTTTCACAAATTATGAATATTAATTAGATTTTTTTTTTTTTTTACATTTTAAAGTACATTTTAACTAATTATGTTTGAATATTTTTTTTGTCATGCTTTAAATAAGTTGACTAACATACTAAAGCACATTTTAAATCATTATAATACTTTGTCAATACACTATACACTAGGCAGTAAACTTTAACCATATTTCAAAGACAATAGAAGTAATTATAAAATTACATATAAAAATGTACTTAGGTGGGTCAAAAAGCACTCTAAAGTTCATATAATTTAATTTAACACAAATTTAAACTATAATACAGTTTAATTGCAACTAACATGCAATTAAGTGCACAAAAACACTTAGGTATATTCTTTTAAAGAATTTAATTTCTGTAATACGCTTTTTTTTTAAAAATTTTTTTAAGTATGCTAAAGTGTGCTTTTTCACGAGGCTGTTTATACGTATCTGTGTATTTAGTTTTTTAATTCAGTTGAGGTGAAGTTACTGCAAGAGCTGCTCCCGATTTTCACGTTTAGCTTGCATTGATTATGAGCCTCCACTGCGCATCCCATAATCACAGCGAGAGCTCCGATTGGAGGAACCCACCTTGAAGAGGATCTCGGTTGTCATGGTGAAGCCGTGGGTGATGATTGGCTCTTCATCCGGAGGTTTGCCCTTCCAGCAGTCGAGCTCCAGACAGCGGCACCCGGCGAGGAGACACTGACGGTACATCTCCGGAGACGAGACGCCCGTCAGCTGCCCCGCTGCACACAACACACGCTTTCAACTAAATATGTGACCCTGGAGCACAAAAGCAGTGTTAAGTCGCTGGGGTATATTTGTAGCAATAGCCAAAGATACATTGTATGGGTCAAAATTATTGATTTTTCTTTTATGCCAAAAATCATTAGGATATTAAGTGAAGATCATGTTCCATGAAGATATTTTGTAAATTTCCTACCGTAAATATATCAAAACTTAATTTTTGATTAGTAATATGCATTGCTAAGAACTTCATTTGGACAACTTTAAAGATGATTTTCTCAATATTTCGATTTTTTTGCACCCTCAGATTCCAGATTTTCAAATAGTTGTATCTCAGCCAAATATTGTCCTATCCTAACAAACCATACATCAATGGAAAGCTTATTTATTTAGCTTGTACAAATCTCAATTTTGACAAATTGACCCTTACGACTGGTTTTGTGCTCCAGGGTCACATCTCTATAAACACGCTGAGTGTTGAGCCCCGAGTCCCTGCTTTAGTTTCCTCCTCACCTGTGAGATAGGTGTTGTGGGAGGATTTGACGAAGTAATGTGGGATGGGTTGGGTCATATCGTGACTCTGGGCCAGTTTGTCCAGTTTCACCACTGATGTCTCAGATCCCATCAGATAAAACATCAAACCATCTGGAGAAATCTGACCTGCAGCAGCAACAATGAACCTCACAAATACAGTCCCACATCAAAAACACTGTGTTATTTACTGAGCTGATCTAATGTGACTGACTTAGTTTATATATTATATTATATTATATTATTATAGTTTTTATTAATATTTTGAACTTTTTTAATTTTAATTTTAAGTTAAGGTTTTATTAATTTAGTTGTGTATTTTTGTCATTTTTATTAGTTATGTTTTTTTTTAATGTGTATGTAGTTTTAATTAACATTATATTATAGTTTTCATTAATACTTTGAACTTGTTTTTATTTTTTAGATTTTCCACTTTTATTTTAATTTAAGTTAAAGTTTTACTAAATTTGCTGTGCATGTCATTTTTATTAGTTATGTTTTTAAATGTCTATATAGTTTTTTTATTTATATTAGTATAATATTATATTATAGTTTTTATTAATATTTTGAACTAGTTTTTATATTTAGATTTTCCATTTTAATTTTGGAATAAGATACATTTTCTTAAAATTTACTTTGATATGAAGACATATTATTTTAAGCATAAATTTAATATAATTTATTGATGTTTCTGCTTAAAACATGAATAAAACTGTTGCCAATGGGTCAAGACAGCAGACATAAGAATAATATTTTTTTTTAATTTTTTTTTTTAATTTAATTTAATTTAATTTAATTTTATGAAATGAAATGAAATGAAATGAACAAAACTGTTGCCAGTGGATCAAGACAATAAATGTAGAATAATAATGTTAATGTAAGATATATTAAAAACTTGAAAATACAAAAACTAGAAACTGAAAGAAAATAAGTTAACACTGAAGTACTAAAAATTACAAAATTAAAATGAAAGCTACAGAAAAAAAAAACCGGACAAAAGCACATAAAATCAAACAAAAAATGTTTAAATTAAAACTAATTCAAAATATTATTTAAATCAATAATACAAAAATAACACTGCATCTCAGGTAATTATTATTATTTGTATTTTTTTTATTGTAAAAAATCGCTCATTAAACAGAATTCTGTGGGACACTCACCGCGGCTGGCGTTGGACGAGCTCGGCTCGTATTTCTCTATGAGATTCTTCACCTGTTCGGGTCTGACGAGCGGAAACAGCTCCTCATTGAGACGGGAATCTCGCTGTTTCTCGTTCAGGAACTTGGTCAGCATCTCCTTCGTCATGAATCCCTTTCCTTTCGTGCTATGAAGGTCATAATCAAACACTGATTAATGATCAGATCAATGATCAAATGAACATATGGAGTGCGTTCACTCACAAGGACGTGAAGATTTCATTGATTTCAGGTCTGGGACACAGATTGAGTATGAAGGTCTTGAAGGCCGCTTCAGTGAACACATCAGGCTTGATGGTGTCAAACTAACAACACAAGACGACTGATGGTTAAATACTGCATAAACACACTCACACACAAACATAAAGTAAACACACACACCTTTCCTTTGGGGAGATTTGCTGCGGCCAGAGCAGCTTCAACCCTTTTCTTGTCTGCTGGAAACATCTTAAAGATACTGAGACGAAAGATTATGATCATTAGGAGAAGATATCAAATATTAAGCATCACTTTAATGTGAGACAATGCACATTTTACCTACACTGTAAAAAAAATTCTGTAGTTTTTACAAAATAATTTTGGCAGCTGTGGTTGCCAGAATAATTTTGTAAAAAATACAGAAAAACTGTAAACACATTTACGGCCATAAACTGTAAATTTTACAGTATAAAACTGTAATTTACAAACAAGAAAATTTGAATGTAAACCAGTAAATTCAACAATGCACACTGCTATTAAAATCTGTTTTTACTTCAAAAAACTGCATTTTACTGTAAAAGCATTTTACTGTAAAATTACATGAAATATCTGGTTAGATATTTTACAGTTTTTCCCTGTATATAGTACGGGAACTTACTGTTAACCTATTAACAGGTTTTTTCCGTAGCGTTTTTACAAAATTTTACAGTTAAAATTACACTTATTTTTTACAGTGTAGCGAAATTAGCATCCCGAATGCTGTTCTTTTCAAAATTTTGAGGTCGGTAAGATTCTTATGCTCACCAAGGCTGCATTTATTTGATCAAAAATACAGTAAAAAATGTGAAATATTATTACAATTTAAAACAGATGTTTTCTATGTGAATATCTGTTAAACTGTAATTTATTTCTGTGATGCACAGCTGAATTTTCAGCATCAATACTCCAGTCTTCAGTGTCACATGATCTTCAGAAATCAGTATAATATGCTGATTTGCTGCTCAAGAAACATTTCTGATTATTATCAATGTTGAAAACAGTTGTGCTGCACAATATTTTTGTGGAAACTGTGATGCATTTTATTTTTCTGGATTATTTGATGAATATAAAGTCCAAAAGAACAGCATTTATTTGAAATAGAAATCTTTTGTCACATTATAATGTCTTTATTCTCACTTTAGATCAATTTAATGCATCTTTGGTGAATAAAAGTATCAGTTAAAAAAATCTTAATGACCCAAAGTATTTTTTTATATAAACATGTTTTTTTTTTCTTACTTTTTAACAGGGATTTTCCCATCTTTGTTGGTCTGCAGTGAGAGGCGGACATACCTATAAAGAAGACAGAATATGGAATATTGGGAATATAAATCAACATTTGTCATGTCATGACTAGTCTGAAATTGACCGCACAAATCCTCACACTTTCTCCAGGAAGAACTGTCTGCAGGCGTTTGCTCTCAGTGTGTTATATGCTATAGCCAGGATGTCGTCAGCCCACGTCTGTGCCAAAAAGAAATGAGCTTAGATTAGAAAAACATGACAGATTGATCTTCTGCTCTGCAGTGAATGGGTGCCGTCAGAATGAGAGTCCAAACAGCTGATAAAAACATCACAATAATCCACAAGTAATCCACAGCACTCCAGTCCATCAGTTAACATCTGGAGAAGACAAAAGCTGAAGGAAGTGTTATTATGGACTCGTATTTTAGTTAAAAACATCTTATAATGATGAATTTGTTTCTTACATACACGCAGCTTTTGTCTTCTCCAGATGTTAACTGATGGACTGGAGTGCTGTGGATTATTGTGATGTTTTTATCAGCTGTTTGGACTCTCATTCTGACGGCACCCATTCACTGCAGAGCATCCATTGCTGAGACACTGATGCAATGCTACATTTCTCCAAATCTGATGAAGAAACAAACTCATCCTAATCTCTGATGGACTGAGGGTGAGTAAAATCTCAGCTAATTTTTATTTTGGGGTGAACTATTTCTTTAATGTTCTGTTGGATCATATCAATAACAACAGTGTTGCTTGACTGAGTAAACGGCACTAATAACAAACCCAGTCTGCGTTTATTTCAGTCAGATGTGTTTATAACGCATTCATCCACCAGAGGGCGAATGATAAACCTCAGCGCTGTGAGTTACACAGAAATAACACAATTGATCTGCACTGCAGCTTATTAGTGGCAGGATATGAAAATCATAAACTCATAAACCCCATTTCTGAACATCTATCTATCTATCTATCTATCTGTCTGTCTATCTGATAATATCTATCTATCTATCTATCTATCTATCTAATCTGTTTTTAGATGTAAAATGAAATGCATTGAAGTGTGTGTTTTAAAATGAAACATATGTGACCCTGGAGCACAAAACCAGTCTTAAGGGTCAATTTTAGAAGTTGTGATAGGTGAGGCTGACGGTGTCTGTTCCCGTCACGATGGTCAGCGCTTTGGCCAGATGATGGCTGTCAGGAAAATCCATGTTGAAGACGTTACGAACCTTTGGATGCTGAAAGAGGAAGAAAATGATAAGACATTGCTTGAGTCCCTGAACACTAAAGTGACACTTCAGACTTCTGAAAGTCACTGCATCAGATATCAAGTGAGTGACGTTTAGGAGAGAAAGCTCTAGAAACTTTAAACATCTCATGCACGAAGTCTGCTTTCCATACATGACCCATCAACAAGAACAACCCAGACCAGCAAACAAATCCGGCTTCATGCAAATGTGTGAAGGGAGAAACACGAGGTCAACGGCTGTGTGTGTGTGTGTGTGTGTGGAGAGACAAAGAAAATCACTGTATAATTCATATAACAATAGTAATATATCAAACATAACATCCTGTTTATGTTTCTAATAGCACTTAAAAATATGGATGTCAAAAATGCTCCTCAACTGTTTGGAGTTGGCTGTGATTGTTTCTGCTGAACGCTGCTGTTTGCAAGGCAAATTCACACAAATACTCAAATGCATCAAATGCAACAAACACTGACACTCCGTCTGTTTAGTCATGATGCAACATAAAACACATTACATAACATGGACAGGGCACATACTTTAGGGAGCTTGGCATATTTTTCCGCTCCTGTGTCC